TTTTAACAAGAGCTGTCAATCCATAGGTGTTTGGGAGTATACTGGTAGTGGTGAGTACTCCAAGGTTACATAATAGAATGTTTCAATCTCTCTTCATCTGAGCTCCATGGGGGCTCCCAAGATCTTTGCATGGCCCTAAATACATCCAAAGGAGCCCTGGCCATGTAGTGAATTATAGGTTGAGCTGTTAACATCAAGGTCAATGGTTCAAAACCACAGCCTTTTGGGGAGATAAAGATTAGGCTTTCTACTCTTGTAAAAATTTACAGTCTCAGAAACCCACAGGGGTAGTTCTACCCTGTCCTATGGGGTCCCTTATGATTCAGAATCCACTTGATGGCAGTGAGTTTTAGAGTTTGAAACATACACACGATGAAATAAATCCTTAACACTGGAGGGCACTGTGCTACCAAGATCCTACCAGAGATTTTCCACACCTGGAATGACATTTTTCCCCCCTAAAGTTTGTTTTGTGGTTGTTGATGCTGCTGAAAATATACACAGAAAAATACACCAATTGAACAGTTACTACCTGTGCCATTTAGTGACATTTCTCTTCCCTTTGAGTCGTTCCTCCCAGATACACATAAACTCACAGCCAAGAAGGTATCTGCCTGTCTTGTCTTCTCAGCTGCTCCTACCAATTTGATCACCTACAATTATTTCTTGTAACAATAAAAAGCACAAGGAGGACACTTTTTGTTACTCAGCCAAACTACTGTTCTGTTACAAGATCACATCTGGGTGTATTTTAAGGTTTTTAAAGAGTATCTCAGGGCAATAGTTTTAGGGTTTATCTATCCTTCCAGAATGTCTACGTTTGAATTTGAAATTCGGTCCTGCATTTCCCCATATTGGTCAGCACATCGAGGTAATTGGCCTAATAACATGTGCAATGCTTCTGCTCTACTTGCTAGTTCACAGCATAATGCCTCGGGTTTTTAAAGCTAGAAGGTGTTCATCCAAGGAGCAAAGATTGTCTCTAATCACCTGGAGCAACAGAGGGAGGGAGAAGGAGAGGCAGGACGAGCATATGGAATGCGTAGTCTAGGGCTTCCATCAGCCACTGCTTCCTGTGCCAGGAGATCGGAAAAAGTGAGCAGTGCTCCTCTACAAATGCTGGACATTTAGATCAACTATTCCATAGCACAATGATTCCACCATCAACCCTTAGAAGTGCCTTGGTTTGTTTTGTTTTTAATCGTTTTATTGGGGGCTCTTATAGCTCTGCTCATAATTCATAGACACATCCATTCTGTCAAGCACATTTGTACATATGTTGCCATCATCATTCTCAAAACATTTTCTTTTCACTTGCGCCTTTGGTATCAGCTCATTCCTCCCCTCCACCATCCTCCCTCCCTTATGAACCCTTGATAATTTATAATTTTTTTTCATGTCTTACACCGATCACTGTCCCTTCACCCACTTTTCTAGTGTCTGTCCCCCTGGAGGGGGTTATATGTCAATCATTGTGATCAATTCCCCCTTTCAACGCCCCCCCACCTTCCTCTTCCCCTCCTGGTATCACTACTCTCATTATTGGTCCTGAGGGGTTTATCTGTCCCGGATTCCGTGTTGTGAGTTCTTATCTGTACCAGTGTACATTCTCTGGTCTAGCCAGATTTGTAAGGTAGAATTGAGGTAATGATCATCTTTGGGAGGTGGGGGCATTAAAGAACTAGAGGAAAGTTATATGTTTTGTTGGTGCTCTACTGCACCCTGACTG